CCCGCCGCCGCCGCCGGGCCCGCACCCCGCTCCCCACGCTCCGGCCCGACCGCCTCGGGGCCTAGCGCCGCCCTCGAACCGCCGGCTCCGGCCGGGGCTCCGCCCGGGCCCACCGCCCGCCTCGAGCTCCGGTTTCGGGTCTCAGCGCCCCGGGGCCTGGGGGTGTCGGAGAGGCCGGCCCGGCCCGGCCCGGCCGAGAACGGCGAGGAACAGACGGCGTCCCCGCCCCTCAGTCAGATTCGCGCCGCCCGGTCCGCTCCTCCGCCGCGAGCTCCCTCAGGACTCCGAGGGCGGGAGCGGGGAAGTGGCGCCGCCACCGCCGGGCCGGGACTGTCCCGCCCTCTGGGGCTCGGGGAAGCTGAAGCCCAGGCTCCGACAACTACGGCCACCGCCAGCCCGCTCCCATGACCGCCGTCGGCAGCCTCAGTCCCACAAGCCCGCAACCCTCACACACTCCCGCGCGGCGCCTGTCTACGGCCGCGCGCAGCCGCTACCCACAAGCCCCTCGGCCCGCGGCTGCCGGCGCGCCCCCGCTCGCCCCGCCCCGCGCGGCGCGCGCCACCTTCCCCGCCCGCCGGTCTCCGCCTCCTCTCGCCCCCTTCCTCGTTTTTTTATCGTTTCCTCCTGTCTGCTTGGCTTCGCATTTCTCCTTTTTGAGTCTCTTTTCTTCTCCGCTTCCTCCTCCCCCTTTTTGAGTTCTCAGAGGGTAAATGGCTGGGCGCGCGGTCACTGCCTTACTTAACCCGCGAGCTCCAGCTGGGGGAGGGAAGGGCACGCCGGGGACTCGGGTCGGCCCGCGGCTCCGCTCCCGCCTGACTCTGCCCGGGCGGACGACCCCGCGGACTCGGAGGCCCACCCCCACCGCCCCTACCCGGCCCGGCCCGGCCCGGCCGCACCCGGCGCGGGGCCGGGGGGTGGGGGGCGGCGGGCGGCTTTTAGCGGGGGGATGGGTCGGTCCGCGCCCCCCGCCTCCGCCCGGCCCCAGCTGACTCAGCGCGCAGCTATGCGGGCCTTGCATCACCCGCGCCAAAATAATAGCGACCGCCACTCGCTGTCTTCGCCTGCAGAGCTCTGCGCTTGCAAGGGGCCTTTCTGGGCCACGAAGATTTTAGTGGAAAGGCCGGGAGGGTGTGCCTTGGGAATCGGAAACTCGAAGAGGACGGGCGGTTGGAATCCAAGTCCCGGGGCAAGAGGGCCTGGAAGAACTGCTTCTGTCCGCAGGGCAGGAGTCCTGGACTCCCGGAAACCTTTCTGCGCATCCCTAACAGTCGCCTTCCCAGCTGGACTTAAACACCAACCCTGAAAAGAACAAGAGGGCGATAGAAAAATGCTTTCCCTCCGCAGACCTTCTCGAGGTCTTTGCCTTTTGGGGGGCGGAAGAGGGGCGGTCATAAGGGCCGCTCGTCCACATTCCTGCCTCTCGCGGCCCTTGCCATTGGTCAGATCCACCCAGGGAGCAATCTGAAAAGTATGTGCCAAGAGCTGTAAAACTGTTCATTGAGCCCCTGTGACCCAGTAAACCCATTTAAGGAAGTACATTTCTAAGGAAATGATCCAAAGGGGGGTGGGGGGAGAACTTGCATAAAGATGTTTATAGCAGGGCTATTCAGAATGTTCATAATGACCAAAACCTGGGAATGGACCCAGTTGTTCAACAATTGGGGAATAATCCAAACAAGTTCTGTCACATTAACAGAAGGAATCCTGGCAGGTATGCAGGATTCAAGTCAAGGACGTCAAATTTTGGGAAGGACGTGAAAAGATGTATTGGAAATAAGGTTGAATAAAACAAGGAGGACAAAAAATAGTTTGTACACACTACTCAAAACTATGTAAAATGAGTAGCGGTAAGAACTGGAGGTGAATACAGTTGTTTTTAAGTGAATGGGATTTCTTTTTTCCTTGAAGATGCTTAAGAGAACATTTCAATTTCAAAAACTGTCATAAGATAGGACACTTCAAAAATCTACACTCTGATATCCATTAAGTAGTAAAAATCCTAAGAACGTTTCTCAACGGCATGTCAGAGAGAAGCCCCTAAAAGGGCAACCTAGTTCCAAAGGCCTAACCTTATAAAAGTAACATTTTAATTCGGTGAGTTTTCCAGGAGTCTCATCATTCCTTTTTGTGTTAAAGCCACCCTCACTTGGACTAGGCAGGAAGGGGTCCTGGAGGATCCAATACAGCTTTTTCCTCTCAGATAGTAGCACTGACTTCTGGTCAAAGGTCAGTCCTTTAAGTGTGTATGTGGAGTGACTCATTCATACCTCCACAGACCACACCAAGAGGACAGAGTGAGCTAGACACTACACCTGCTTCTGCACTGAAGCAAAATAATGAGATAATCCATGATTACCAATCCTTTTACCTGATTACAATATAGTATGCAAAGCAACAGGAGCACCATGTGGTTCTCAGTTTTCAAATTAATTTTTCAACAACTGGCTGGCCGTATATTTTTATGGAGCTTGGTGGACTAACAGAAAGCCATGATCCCACATACTGGACATGAAAACCTTACTTAAAAAGAAAAAGGTAATGATCAACAAAACACAGGTAATGGGCACCTTCTGCATATGGCCATTTACATAGGCTAGAAAAAGCCACAGTGGAGAAGATTTTTTTTTTTTTTTTTTTTTTTTTTGCGGTACGCGGGCCTCTCACTGTTGTGGCCTCTCCCGTTGCGGAGCACAGGCTCCGGACGCGCAGGCTGAGCGGCCATGGCTCACGGGCCCAGCCGCTCCGCGGCATGTGGGATCTTCCCGGACCAGGGCACGAACCCGTGTTCCCTGCATCGGCAGGCGGACCCTCAACCACTGCGCCACCAGGGAAGCCCCAAGGAGAAGATTTTTATCCAAGACCTACACCACTGTCTACATGGAAGAAAAGACTAATCTCTTGATATGAGTTAAACCTTAATTTCTTTCGGTCAGTACGACAATTCTTGTTTTACCTAAAGAGAGCACAAATACATTCTTGTAAAAGTTCACACAAATCAGAAATATATAAACATAGCTTGAAAAATCACTCTCCCAAATCTCCCCACACACACATTCTCTTATCATTCAAGGCCTTTATCCATTCTCATATGTATTTGTATACACCCATATGTATCTTTTTCCCACATATATAGTGTTATACCGTATCACAGTGTTTTTTGGGTTTGTTTTTAAATTTTATTTTATTTACTTATTTGTTCATGGCTACGTTGGGTCTTTGTTGCTGTGCGTGGGCTTTAGTTGTGGCGTGTGGTCTCATTGCGGTGGCTTCTCTTGTTGTGGAGCATGGGCTCTAGGTGCGCGGGCTTTAGTAGTTGTGGCTCTCAGGCTCAGTAGTTGTGGCTCGTGGGCTCTAGAGTGCAGGCTCAGTAATTGTGGCACACGGGCTTTGTTGCTCCGTGGCATGTGGGATCTTCCTGGATCAGGGCTCAAACCCATGTCCCCTGCATTGGCAGGCGGATTCTTAACCACTGCGCCACCAGGGAAGTCCCTATCACAGTGTTTTGCAACTGATTTTTTCCCTTTAATCATATGTCTTAGAGACATCTCCATGTCTGTACACAGAGATCGACCTCTTTCTTTTTAACTGCTGTGCTATGTTCCCTAGTGTGGATGTATCATACTTTCATTTATCCTCTATTAGAGGGCATAGTGGTTAAGAAGAGGCTCTAGAAACATTGCCTGGGCTAAAATCCTGCCACTACCACACACTGCCTGTGTGTGTCTCAGTTTCCTCATCATGTTTGTTACAAAGCACTTAGAAGAATGCTAGCCCCCAATAAATGTTAGATATTATTAGTGCTTTCTCACTATCACAAACATTATTGCAGTGGATATCCTTCTATTTTTGCCTTCATGTGGACATATTTAAGTAGTGTAGATTTCTAAAAGTGAAATTGTTGTAATAAAAGGTAGGCATACTTTAAATAGTGGCAAATACTGCCAAAACGTCCTTTAAAAAGACTACACCAGTTTACATTCTCACTATCAATGGAAGAAACTGCCAGTTTCCCTTTACCTTTGCCGATATTAAATATTATAAATCTTTTTAATTTTTGCCAATTTTATGGGCACACAAAATGGGATCCTGTTTTAATTTGTATTCCCTTAATTACTACTGAAGATGAGCATTTTGTGTTTCCATTTCTTCTGAAATTACCTGCTTATATCTTTTGTCCTTTGGATTTGTCTTTTTCTTACTGATTTATAGGAGGTTTTATGCATTACAGATATTCCTTCTGTTAGAATGTTAAAATATGTGTTACGGTTTGCAATTATTTTCTTCCAGTCTGTCATTCAGTTTTAGTTTTGGTATCTTTTGTCACACAAAATTTTTACCTTTTTTGTTTTGTTTTGTTTTGTTGCGGTACGCAGGCCTCTCACTGTTGTGGCCTCTCCCGTTGCAGAGCACAGGCTCCGGACACACAGGCTCAGCGGCCATGGCTCACTGGGCCCAGCCGCTCAGCGGCATGTGGAATCTTCCCGGACTGGGGCACGAACCCGTGTCCCCTGCATCAGCAGGCGGACTCTCAACCACTGCGCCACCAGGGAAGCCCGAATTTTTACCTTTTATGAAGTCAAATCTACCAATATTTTCCTCTACAGCTCCTGAGTTTTGTATCTGGATTGGGAAAGATTCTAAACCCAGCTTTTAGGGCACACAGAGGACCGAAATTGCATTAAGTTATGAGGAAATGGCAGTTTCCCAATACCAAAATCATCGCCTCCCAAATGACCCATAGAAAGAGGATCTCCCTGGGCTTGCTTTTCTTAGAGGGATTTTGGCTGCTCTGTGACTCTGTCCCAGGTTGACTGATTCCTTTTTAATGCTCCCTCTGATGTGTCCTGAGCACAGGTGGGACAAAAACTTTGTTCCAGGGATTTCCCTGGTGGAGCAGTGGTTAAGAATCTGCCTGCCAATGCAGGGGACACAGGTTTGATCCCGGGTCCAGGAAGATCCCATATGCCGCGGAGCAACAAAGCCCGTGGGCCACAACTCCTGAGCCTGCACTCTAGAGCCCACGAGCCACAACTACTGAGCCCATGCTCCACAACTGGTGAATAAAGTACGAGGTAAATAAATGAAAAAGTAAGTAATGACTAGAGAGTAGAGGCATGAGTGGTTAGAAAGAGAACAGAGGAGGTAAGTTGAAGCCAGATCAGGGAAGACCTAGAGTCTGTCCTAACATGCTGTGTGATGTCACAAAAGCCACTGCTGTCCTCCAGGACTTGCTGAAATTGAAGATACTGGCAGAAGCCACCATCCTCTGGATCTGTGACCTCTATGATGGGCATTAGGGGACTTTTCAATTATGGGCATGATGAGGGAGCGACTTGGGACTCAGCAGCAGTATGAGAAAGCAAAGTGGAAAGAAGCCACTTTGGGAGATGTGCCATAATCCACAGGCCACCGTATGTAATTAAGTGGTTTATGATCATGAGTAATTAAAAACTTACAAAGCGTACAGAGAAGAAAACTGTAGTTAAAGTGTTCAGTCATTAGAATACAAGGATAACACTTAGTCTTCCTAAAAGCCCACCTTATTGTGAAATAAGGAACCACTTTAAACTTCCTGGCCTTTAGAGTGGCACTTTGATGGCTAACTTGCCTTTGTAATATTCCATTTGCTGCCTTGGTCTCTAAATGAAGTTGGGCCCTTCATGAAGTGAACTCAGAGGATGTGAGCCCACCTGAGTCAGAGCTGTGTGGCCAGAAGTGCAAGCTGGTCAAGGCCATATCTTCAAACAGGCAGTGAGTGGCGGGAACTTACAGTAGAGTTGCAGAAACCTCATTCCAGGCCGAGCTCTGTCCCTTTCTAGCTGTGTGACCTCAGGCAGATTAACTTACCTCTCTGAGCTTCAGTTTCTCTCCTGTGAGGAACAAATAAGGCTCCCACAGCATTCAGCATCCTGAACGTGCAGTCCAGAAAGGCTGATTCCTTCCCACCTGTCAGAACTGACAGGACACCAGTGATATTGTTTCTTTCATCAATTGATTTATTCATTCAGTGATGATATCTATGTGCCTGTCACACAGTAGTAAACAGCAGAGACATAATCCCTGTGGGCCTTTATTAGGCTTATGATATAACAGAGGGGACAGATGTGACACAAATAGCCATACAAATGAATAGGTAATTGCAAATTTGGTAAGCGCTACAAAGGAAAAGATGTGAAAAGAATTATAAGAGGGGGGGCCTAGTCCAGATGGGGTCACAGAAATTTCGTGAGAAAGTAATAATTCTCCGGGAGTTCCCTGGTGGTCCAGTGGTTAGGATTCGGCACCTTCACTGTGGAGGCCCGGGTTCAATCCCTGGTCAGGGAACTGAGATCCTGCAAGCTGCGAGGTGCAGCCAAAAAGAAAGAAAGAAAGTAATAATTCTGATGAAATCTAAAAGGATGAATAAGAGCTGGGAAAAACTGGGCCAAGGAGAAGAGGGTGCCCCAGGCTGAGGTCAAGGAGAAAAGTCCCTTTTTATTTAACAAATAAAGGCATTTCATTACAAGCCCGTAGTTATGCCACCTGCAGTGTGGTTTGTTAAGAGTGACACCAGGAAAGTCACAGGCCCACAATGGGTAGAGAGGAAGCCCTTGTTTTTACAGAACCTTGAAATTTAGTACACTGAGGTTTCAAGAGTTTTCTTCTACCTGTCCACACACTTGTTGTTTGCAGGGTTCTTTGTGGCCGTTTTTCTAAATACTTTTGGTAGTAACTCTTGGAAGCAGGTAAATCTAAAAGCTCCTGGTCAGGTAGGTCCTTGCTCTGATCACCGCTGGAGGGGGGCCTAATTTTCTCCCTTATCTGAAGTAGCAGAACCCAATGGGAGAAGCCGATGATGGACTCATGAGTCCTGGGTTCAGGGTTTGGGGCCACCATCTATGGGTTATGTGACCTTGGGCAAGTAACTCAGCCTTGCTGAACTCTGCTGCCTCATCTGTAAAAGCTACTCCACAGAGTTGATTCCAGTGTTAATATATGGGAGGATGCTCTACAAGTATGATTCTGGCTCGCATCCGAAGTCTATTCTCTTATATCCTGTGATATTCCCAGCTTTCACTCTGGGCATGGAAGAGGAGAGAAAGGGAGGAATCAAAAATGACCTCCAGGTTTCACTAGGCTTCCCCAAGGAAGTAACCAAGATTGACTATTGCATCTAAATGCTGTGAATTTATCTTAAGGTACATAAAAATAGATAAATTTGCAAAAAAAAAGAGCAAGTAATAGAATCGTCCTTTGTGATTCTTTTGCACTTTTCCAGAAAAAAAGAAAAAAAAAGAAATATATTGTGGCAACCACCAGAAGCTGAATGCCAATGACCACAGTCTTCAAATCTTTCCGTCTCTTGTTGACATTCTCACTGACAGTGTTTAAACAGGGCTGGGCTGTTTACACACGTTCATTGCTCACTGTAGCCCAGCAGGACCTATAAGGGAAAGCCATTCAAACCTTGACATATATCACCTGGTCACCTCAACCAAGAAGTGTGAGCCACAAGTCTGAAGGAGGAGGCAAGCTCTACTTTCATCTGCTTTACCACAACCCTCAACGAAGGGGCGCTGAGATTTCACAGCCAGAGCTGAGAGCTGGGAAGAGCTCAGCAGAGAAGAGATGCTCTGGAAGCAAGACATGGGTGTCGTAACTTTGTGTTGTCAGAAGTGGTGTGAATTCCCAGAGCACCAGAAGCATCTGCCCTCAAATATAATCCACATTCTCGTTCCAAGACAACGTGAAAGTGACTTAGGGATGGGTGTACCAACACCCCCTCCCCCTGCCTCAAAGAATGAGAGCAGGCTTAAGGCTTAGTCTGGGGCAGCATCTTTTAGCGCAATTCATAGTGGTACTTAGTGGAGCTCTTTATTCATCAACCAAATGGATAGAATGCCTACCATACATATGAAGGGGAACTTGGAGATAAGTAAGGCAAAGTCATTGACCTCATGATCTGGGGAGGGAAATGAGACATACACGTAGGGCTTATCAGCTTATTACCTGAACAAAGGGTTGACTGAATGCATGAACATAAGGCCATAAATGCAAGCAAGCCCATGGTACAGAAGAAAGCACAGGATTTGGAGTCTGAAGACAGAGGTGACATCCCAACTCACCCACTTTCCAGCTAGGTATTAAGCTGGATACCTCTGCTTGTTCACCCTCCTCTATGCCCCAGGGACTGGCCTCTATGGACCACCTCCCTGGGCTCCCCGGTTGTCTGTCTTCTGGCTGGGCTCAGCCAAAGGGCATCCCTGGAATGATATTGGGAAGGAGGACAGGGTTTCTTCCCCTCCTCCCTGGCTCGCCCTCTAGTAGCAGCCCTGTACCTGACACCTGCAGCCCCACCACTCACTACCTTCCCTTCTCAGTGGGATCCAGGAACAGTGGGTCGTCCCCCTGCCCTTGTGGCCCTAGCTTCTCATTGTTGCTGATGCCTGGAAGCCTCAATTTGCCTTGCCTTCCTTTAATGCTGTCTACACCTCTGGAAAGAGTTCCTTCCTGGAAACCACCTGAAACAATTCTGTTTCCTGTTGAGGCCCAACTCATTCAGTAAATTAGATCATGACATGGAACTTCTTAGAGTGTTAGGTTCTTCCGTTTTGAAATGAAAATAATAATAATACTTAGTATCTAACACCATGCTTGAACATGGGCCCTCAATAAATGTTGACTGCTTGAATAAATGAATGGATGGATGGATGGGTGGGTGGATGGCTGGCTGAATGAACGGATGAATACCTACGAGAATTAATGACAAGATGTTAATGTACCAGGTATGAAAATATTTATTATAATTCTTATTAAATGGCAAATGAATGTACTCGATAACATTAACTCTCTTGATATCATACAATGAGATGGGTCAAGAATCAGAAAAACGGAGCCGGTTTTTCCATTTGTTAATTGTGTGATCGAAGGCAATTTATTTTCCCATGCTGTGCCTCTATCTCCTCTTCTATGAAACAAAAGAGTTGAGTAAATAACCTCTAAGGGGCCATTCAGCTTGGACATCCTATCAGGACTAAGCATTCCAGAGAAACATACAACAATTTGAACTGGAGAAATTAGGGAAGCGCTCAGGGCAGAGGCAGAGATCTGAACAATATAGTAAGAACTAGAACAGTAGAAGGACGTTCCAGTGAGCAGAGACTGGAGGGGATGAAGGGGAGAGAGGTCAGTCAGTTCTGGTGGCCAAGAATAAACATCCGGCTGGAACAGAGGTCTCTCGTGGGATCTTAGGGGGCCTTGAACATCAGGCTGAGGAACTGACACTGTAGAAGGAAGGGGTCTGACTTCCTCAAGGCCCCAGAAGCCACTGGAGAACTAGGGTTCTACTTTCCTCCACTCAACCCTCTGAACTGCCAGCAGGGTCGCTGTCTTCATCTCCTGATGGCAGCTGCCTTCTCCCTTTTGTGATTCCTTTCTTTGAGGAAAATTTTATTGGGTGAGGAAACCATTTGGTAAGGGATATTTCTGGCACTGTTCAAATCTTGGCAAAAGGCTTGTTCCTGTCATCATCCTACTTGCATTTTAAAATCTGTTAGTTTGCAGGAAAGTCAAAGGCAAGATAATCAAAAGAAAGTGATTTTTTTAAATTACTGCAAAAGTATCAATCCAGACAAAAAGTTTATTGGGTCTTCAGCAAGAATATTACCTTGAAGGACCTTAGACACCCAGTCAAAGCACTTGGAAAAAATTATGAAAATTAACAATAAGAATAATAATCTCAAACTACAGTAAGACACATGGGGTTATTTGACAATGTGGCTAGCCCTGGGAGTGTAGGCATGGCCCTTCATTCTCGGGCCTCAGTCTCCCCATATGTCAAATAGACCCAATGCTCGGCTCTAGAAGCCTCTCCTGCCTGGGCGGGGCTTGAGCTCCCAGCTCTTTCCCCTCTGCTGAGAACAGCATTCCTGGGAGAGCACAAGGGAACTTGCACCACTTTGGTTTCTATTTGCCTGACCTCTGACTGCTGTGTGGCCCCTCAGAGCTGTGGAACTGAGGCAGCTGCCCTCTGTGGCTTTGGCCAGAGATCAAGAGGAGTCAGCGCCAGCCTGAAGTCAGGCTGGGCCTCTGTGAAGGGGTCATCTAGACATCAGCCTCACTGCCACTGCTGGGGACAGGACTCGTCACCTCTAGTGAATGCTCCCCAGGGTGGCCCCCTGACCACTGCCCACACCATGTGGCTCACTGGGTGGTCACTGCAAAATGTTCCTCCGTGGTTGATGTTAGTCCCAGCTCAAAAACGTTGGCCAGGTCTTCCTTGGTGGCACAGTGGTTAAGAGTCCGCCTGCCAATGCAGGGGACATGGGCTCGAGCCCTGGTCCGGGAAGATCCCACATGCTGCAGAGCAACTAAGCCCATGAGCCACAACTGCTGAGCCTGCGCTGTAGAGCCCACGAGCCACAACTACTGAAACCCGCGCTCCTGGAGCCCGTGCTCTGCAACAAGAGAAGCCACCGCAGTGAGAAGCCCGTGCACCGCAACAAAGAGCAGCCCCCGCTCACCACAACTAGAGGAAGCCCGCGCACAGCAACAAAGACCCAACGCAGCCAAAAATAAATAAATTTATTTTAAAAAAAAAACGTTGGCAACAGCCCCTTATTGAGCTGCAGCAGCGTTATCCCCAAGAGGCACCCATCCTATAAGATGTTCCTCAGAACCCCAGGCCACGTCACTTGAGTTTGGAGGACGCAGCCTGCTGTGTCTCGCTCTCCCTTGCAGAGTCCCAGGGCTCCAAGTCCCCAAGGAGAGAGACCTGTTCAGGCCCATCGAACCCAGTCTGGTCCCTGGTAACTCTCAGCCTCACTTCCCACAGCTCCTCTGTCTGCCCTAAAGTCCAGTGCAAGTGAGTTATTAATTGATAGTTGATCATTTTTTTGAGTGTGAATGTTGTAAAAATATAAACTCGGAGAAAGAAAAGGAGAAAAAAGCAGGATCTTAAGCAGGAATTAACTGAAGGAGTCTAGGTTTCAGTTCAAAATCCCTTGAAAAGTTCAACTAGACTAATCATTCTCTCATTTTTTTTGTCCATATACTATGAGTTCTCCACCCCTTCCACCGCCGGCTGGCCTTTGTTCATGCTGTTCCCTCAGTCTAGGAAACCTCTCCCCTTTGTTTACCTATGAAAAGCCGTTCATCTTTCAAAGCTTTATTCAAATGCCTCTTCCGAACACCCTCCCCAAATTCCATACTAAGAATTTATTACTCATTACTATGCGTAATTTATTACTCATTACTCACAGGACTTTTCATGAATTTCACTTGAAGTGCTCTTCTTGATGGCCATGCATAAGAGCTGTCATTTATTGATACCCCTCTGTGCCAGT